AGGCTTGCTTTTTTTAGCCGCCTTTCGCAGACCTGTTAGAAATGTCCCATTAACCCTCCAGGGTTTTGTAAACCCGGGGTTGGAAACTGCCATGCTGATGGATAGCTGGATGAATCTGCAGGAGACTGCCAAAAATTCTCAGCATAGCTGGACTGTTTTGTTCCACTCCTGCTGATCAGATAAAGCTTTTTAGGCCTTGCAGAAGCCATTAGGAAAAATTATATGAATACTGATATTTCCTTATTGTCCCTGCTAGAACTTGCTTTGGCAAGTTTTGACAGACTTGCTGTTAGATTTGGGCTGTACGAAAGTGTGGCAGGAGAAACATAGGTAAATATCCTGTTAGTTAGAAAACACACTTTCTCTCATTTCTGTTGCAAAGGAAGATTAAATATGCAATGTTTTAATCAATGCAGTTTTACATACAGAAAAAATGAAATAAACTTCAAAATTAACTCCCTTGTAGTTTCAATCTGTCTGTCTGTTTGGGGTTTGTTCGTTTTATTTAAAGGCGCCCCTTTAAATAAATCCTGTCCTGTGTATCTAGATCACCTAGTTCAACTGTTTGCTTCCTTTTGATGATGATAAAAGGTTAATTTTAGCCTCATCAGCTCTCAAAATATTGTCAATGAACTCTGGTTCTGTGTGTTTCATAAAAGCTGTTCCGAAGCATCTCTTTAAAGTATATAAAAACCAAAACTGAAACCCTGACAAAATGCACATGATCTGCCTTGGTCACATTCTCATTCATTCCCCCCGCTCCGAATTGTTTTCATGTAAATGGCAGAACTTGAAATTCACTTGGTTCGTATGACAAAATGTAACTTCTTCCCGAAGTTTAATGTTAATGGACTTCTAATAGAGGAAATGGTTGCAATGTAGATCATACTACTGTAGTTTTGCAAGTAGTACCCATGTGCTTGACTTCACTAGCATGAGTAATTACATGAAAATCAGATGGGTGACGATGATGATGGTGTTAAGCTTGGTGTAAGTTGTATAACATCAGAACCTCAGGTAGCTTTCAGGTACACACATTGGGTGAAGGCCCACATCATTCATTACTTCATTCTTAACATGTTGTTTGGCAGTCACAGTCCATTAAAAATAGATATTTGACATGGCTTATGGCAGGTCAAAAGACAGTTACTTCATTTTTATAGGGTGTAATAGCATATTTTAAGTGTTCATTGTAGCAGGAAGTGGATTTTAATTTGTTTTATTTACATTTCTAATGTGTATATTACATGGGTTTTTTTGAGTGTTGCTGTAATGCCAAATGCCTTCCAGACAAAAAAGAAAAGGTCTTTGCTGTGAAATGTCGTTAACCTAAATTGATGTGTGCGTTGTCATTGTGTCTCACACTTACCTAGTGGCCTCTCTTGTAGCCTGACACTGTGATTAAGTCCTTAAGCCCTTTGCCTTCATTGTTTACGTATTGTTTGCTCCAGAGCAGGAGGGACTGATATAGTCCATCTGTGTGTTATAAATTAAGTTCATATGCAGCATGATCCAAGGGCAAGCCAGTTAGGGCAAGTTACTACTTCCTCCCCCGTACAATCTTTTTGGGATATTGTTTGTATGAAAATACCAGGTTGGACAACATAAACAAAACCAGATGTTTCTGTATGTAAGAACAAGGAATTGAAAACAAAAAACAAAAATAAACCAGGTCATGTAGAAGAGGAGCTGAGACATGAAGCTCCAGTAACTTGACTGTAAGTTAATGTACGCTAAAACATGTATGTATTTCTCAAATGATGAGTGGTTTTTACATACTGATTAATGATTCTTCATTGTAGCCTGATGATGCCTCTAAAGCAAGCATTAAATAACAAAATGCATTGAATAACAAATTTGTCCTCCAGCCAGAAGGCAGAATTGGAGGCCTGAGCTGTATCCTCTTAACCGCTTCCTTACTGCACTGCAGAAATGAGTCCCCAGACTTTCAGACTGAGGTGCCTCAAGGCTCCTTCCAGTTTCTGCTTAAACAGTTCCACAGCAGTAGCTTTTTTTCTTTTTTTTTTTTTTTTTTTTAAATTTAGCTCAGTAATATTTCTGAGAGTGAACTCTTATTGGAGTGAAACCACTTCCTGCATTTGCGAGAGATGATTTTTTATTTGACTGCTGAAGTGTGCTGTTCAGGAGTAAACCCACAGTTTTAATCACTATGTGTTTGTCTAGCTTTCAGCCAGTCTCTACTAATACTGACCTTACGGTGACTTGTCAAACTAATTCCTCTGTTAAAGTTTGCTTTTCCTGTGGCTCTTTCATTCCTTTGCTTTGCGAAACAAAACCTCAGGGGGAAAAAAAAAGGCTCAGAGTCTAGGAAAAAATCTTGAAAGTCTGTGTTCAGGACTAACCCCGCTTGTTACTGCACCTGGTGTGTCAAGTCTAAGACTTCCATTTGAAAATCAAACACCTAAATTACTATATTCTTTCTTATTTTTTAATGCAATGTGATGTTACTGTCAACTAAACATTGTTGTCAAGCGTGAGTCTTTAATTATGTCAGCTTTACTTCGAGCTAGCAAACCAGCATAACAATTCTAATAAGATTATTAATTAATGCAGTGAAGGTTAACCTGTTTCCTTGGGGGAGGGGAGGGATTGAGTCTTTAAAATATTTGTTAAGTCAGTGTGAATGTATGAATGCATGTGTCCTTACAGAAATTCTGAAAAACTGTGGAAAAGGTATGGATTTACTAGTAGGTATAGATTTATCTGAACTTAGACCACTGGATTGCGTGGGCAATCCCTGTTTCTGAAAATTATATAGCTTGTCTCCTGAAGTACCAGGAGTCATGAGGCTAAATTATAGCTGTGGTTAAAATACAAAGTAATTACAATGTGGTATGTGAGTTTTGTGAATGAGGAGAAGGTTTTTGATTTTGTTTTAGTTTTTTCTCACCGAAGTAAATGAGATCGACACGTGCACGTTTTTATCTTGATTTTTCTGGTTTGTGTGTTGTGTGTATAAATATGACTGATGTGCTTTAACGTTAATCCATGTGAGTTTCTTCAGATTCGTAAAACATCTTAAACTCTTTTACTTGGCAGCATACTAAATGGTCAAAGCAGAAATATAAGAAAATACCTAATTCTCCTAGTTTATTCATGCCCATTATGTGAGAAAACAGATGCTGTAAATGGTCTGGTTTGTCCACTCCTGTGCACTTAGAAACTTTGCGCTCTTGTCTTTTCCCTCTCACTGTGGCAGTAGCAGTTCCAGTCACCTCTCTTCCATGTCATTTGCACTAACATGCACAAGCTCTCATCACTTCTGTACTTGGATGTAATTAATCATTCTGCTCATTAATAAATTTAATCTTTGGCTGTGAAAGACTGATTGTCCTTCATTAATTTGGTCCTCTTGAAATAACTAGAAAGCAAGCTACCATCTCTTTTCCTATCTAGGTAGGGGCAATAGTGTCTCCATTTGGGTTGGTAGACTGCAAAATAGAGCTTTCCTCTTGTACTTGATAGAACTTAGCCGTAAAAGTTTTGAGAGAAGTTTAAGGTGCTAGGTACTTTTGCGATCCTCTCACTGTCTTTTCTATAAAATTGATCCATTTTGTGTAGGCAACAGTATCACTTGTTTAACAATTAAAAATAGCTTCAGTGTGAAGTTTTGCCAGGAAGCATAATTAATGATGAACATTGTCTCCCTTTCTCTGAATTAAAATGGAAAAATGCACTCTATTTTTTGTAAAACAGAATAATCCTTACATGTTGAAATACGAGGAGGTTGAATCCTTCTGTTCAGGTATATGCAATTCATTGTATTTGGTAGTGAAATTATTCTATCTGTTTTTGTAGAAGGTGGGTCTTTATGTAGAGATTGTAGTATTTTTGAGTGTTTACAGCATTGTGCAAATACTCTGTTAAGAAGCATCTTTGGCAAAAGTTGCTGGGTGTATCTAGAGCCGCTTTCAAAGCGTAGCATTCCAGGTGTGCTCTAACGTTGAGTGGTGTACGGTCACAGTGCAGATTGATTGATCCCCTGCCAAAATCTTACGAGCACCGTTTTTGTTTTCTCAAATGCCCACGTTTGGTGAGAGTTACAGTGAGACTACAGTAAGCGCCGTGCATACCTGGAGTAGTACAGTTTCTGGCTCCAAGATGGACCTTACCTTCTGGATGGGCAAGGTGCCTGCAGAGATGGAGAGGACAGGGCAATGGCAGCAAATGTCACGTTAGTGCCCTTATTGCAGTGGAGTGGACTTGGCTAGGAATGCTAAAGGGGAGGTAAAATGAATGCCATTGAGGGATGGAGCAAAGGTGAAATGAGAAGCATGGCAAAGTAGAAGGCTTAAGAGGGACGTAAAGCCAAAGGAGTTGAGAGTGGGAGACAGCTGTTGTTCGGGAAGAGCATCCTCCAGGCAAGACTAGAAATTCCTGTCAAGGTCTTTGCCTAGGCTGCTCCTTGAGCAGTTTCTGCCACTATAACTTCGCAGTGGTTTGTTTTTGCAGTTTTACCCCAATGCTATGAGTCAATGGATAAGGTGAAAGGAAACTTCTTCCACTTGCTAAGCTGCCCGGTATCTGTAGGAAAGACCCTTCCCTTTCCCAGGTCTGATGCAGCAAAAAGGGACCCCGCCAGCTGTGCCAGGTCTTTACTTTTTTCCTTGCATGACTGTGTCCAGTTCTTGCTTCAGTCCCTGCTGTGGCACCTCCTGTTGGCACCTGCCTGGTCACTGTTCGCTTCGTTAAAAGACTTGCTGCCTTTCCTCTGGGGGGAGTGGAGGTGGCCCACTAGTGGATTTAACCTGTAATTAAGCAAGTCTTAAAAGCACTTAGAGAGTCTTCTGAGTAAGAAGTGTTCTGATAAGTGCAAGAGTCTGGTTTCCAAATCCATTATTTTGGGTTTGATTTATTTACCTTTTTAGCTTTTTCAGCTCACTTTCTGCAATTTGGAATCTCCCACGTGATCCCCGTGCCATTATGCGAACAGAGGTCTACATGTCTTACAAAGCAGTGAACACTGTTTCTCTCTTTCAGATGCAAGTATGGACATAATAGCCTATGATGATTACTCCAGTCCACCGCTTCAGAGATATTGAAAGGAAACCTGAATACCTCCAGCCAGAAAAGTGTGTTCCACCTCCTAGCCGCGCTTCCCTGGGAACAATGTGGTTTATTCGAGATGGCTGTGGTATTGCATGTGCTGTCGTTACCTGGATGCTGGTGTTCTATGCCGACTTTGTAGTCCTTCTTGTCATGCTAGTTCCATCGAGAGATTATGTTTATAGTGTCATCAATGGCACACTGTTCAACACCTTGGCTTTCCTCGCTTTGGCTTCACATTTTCGTGCTATGCTGACAGATCCAGTAAGTATATCTCTCTCTGTATGTCTCGGAAAGAAACAGGCAGTGTTTTTCTTGTCTGCTAGATGTTGGGTAACTTAGCTGCCGAGTGAGTGGCAGATTTAAATAACTTTTTTGTGTCAGCCTGCTGAGTGAGGCTGCTGATGTGGTATGCTAATTTCTCATCCCACTCAAGTCAGATGCAAAGTCAAGGACCCAGCTTTAGATTCCCATTGTGTGAGCAGCTCCTCTTTTTGCACTGGGAAGGAGAGCGTTTCTCTCTGACGCTGTTTTCTCCCCAGTGGCAGATCTCGTGTTTGTTGCTTGTTGTGTCTTGACAAACAGGAAAGCTGGAAAAGCTGGTTTCGGTTGTCTGCCTTGGCAAGTATTGCTTCAGCAGAATGGAGCAGAACATGTGTTGTTTTGAAAAGCCATGTTACCATCTCTCATACTAGTGATTTGGTTGAGTTTATTGAACCATGCTGAAACAGATACTATGTGGGCATGCTAAGAGCTGACAGTTCTTGAAGCATCAGAGTTGTAAGACCCCCATGTATGTCTCCATAGGACATTGCTTTACGAGAGATCTGGTTTGCCGCTTTCTTGTCTTCCAGCTAGTGAGAAGATGCAGTTTAGTACCATGATGTTTATTCTGAGTGGCCTGTGATGGTTTATTTTGTTTAATAACCTCTGGACAGTAGATTCAGTTCAAAACCCCATCTCCACTAGTCAGTGGAAGGAAAAAACACGCTTAGACTTCCCTTGGCCCCTTCCTCCTGAGTGTTCTTGTTGCTGTTGGAAATAGCCGTGTGCCTTTGATACTCTAATTATTCCTTCCAAATGTCATTTCCTACTTGAAACCTTGTTAGGTGCCATTAAAACATCAGTGTAGTCTTTGTTTCTTAGTTTCCAGCTCTCCCAGAAGTCACAGCACTGCAGAAATGGCTTGATTTGGGGTACTTTCACGGTTTATGGTAAAGACTGATGCACTGGACGCTACTGCTGCTGGGCAGAACTGTGAGCAGTAGCTGAGAGGCTGAGGAGACTTCTGGTCCTTGGACTCAGGAATGCAGGGTTGCAGCAATTTGTTATATAGTTTATATCCTAGGGGTTCTCATCGTTGTTGTTGTTAATTGTTGTATGTTGTATGGCTTTAATGCCTAGGGACCTTCAGGTCACTGAAATTATTTTGCAGAGTTAGCAGGAAGTCTTTTGAAACAAAAGCTGTTTTCTGAAACAGACTGGGCAAGCAGTGTTGCAGAAACAGATACAATCTCTATGCGGAGTAATTGGGGAAAAAGATATGTTAATTCCTAGTGTGTGGTGGGATTTTTCAGTGTGGATGGTAAGAACCAGTGGGATTTCTTTTTTTATTCTTTGTAGAGGATATCGGATAAATTAAATGGAGGAGGGAAGATAAAGCGAGGGGATGCAGCAACATCTGGCAGACAATGTGAGTCAGGGACGAAGGAAGCTGCTGGGACATGGAGAACCAGGGGCACATCTAGGACTAGAATGAAACAGAAAGCACCCCTGAGACAAACAAATAGGAATTCTTATTATAAATAAATGAAAATGTGACTTGTTCAGAATTGATAGCATATGTCATGCTTTTCAGGAACTGCTTCCTATGGGTTCTTGCTAAAACATTCCTAAGGTTTTGAGCTTTGCAGCGTACTAAAGAGAGAGAACAACAGTTGTAGCATTTTGTGGAAATGGGTCTTGGTAATTTTTAAATTGGTCAGGCCCGTTAGGAGGTTTCTGTGTAAAAAGTCAAAGACTGCTCCAGAAAGCCTTATAGTACAGGCTTAATGTGCAGTTTTCTCATTGATGTGTATTATTCCCATTTATTGCTGTTGGGAGGTTGTATAGGTGTGTTAAAAAGAGACTGTTCCATCAGAAATCTGTTAAAATACTACATCCCTGCTTCTATTTCAGTATAAAAGTTAACATCTACAGAGGTGCATTTGTGCCAGTGTACCAGCACGGATTTCATACAGCACATTTCATGATCATTCTCTTCTTTTTTTGTTGTGTTTTTTTTTTTTTGGGGGGGGTTTTTTGTTTGTTTTTTTTTGTTGTTGAGAAAATTTATGGCCCTAGAAAGGCTGGAAACTCTTGAACTCAGGCTCCTGCAGCAGCTATGTGTTACCTGTTTAAAGACACGTAATTTAAAGTGGAAATTGCAGAGCTAAGAATGCTTTACCTAGTCTCATTCAGGTGGGAGGATTCTTAGTGTTCACCGTTTAAATGTTAAACCCTAATTAAGTAACAAATACACGATGGAAGCATAGCTATAAATCCATGAGGTGTTTACCAGCAACTCTCAGTGTACACAATGATACTTCAGAAGTAGCTGCTTCTACTGGAATAAAACATCTGCGGTTTCCAGTTTGTGATATAATACACTGGCATGATAAATTTGGTGATAGATGTGAAGAGAGCAATGAGGATCCTTAAGTATTTTAAGATTACTATAGGGTTACAAAAAATCGCTTAAGTGAGGATTTACTGGTGTTTAAGAAAAACAAAACCCACCAAAATGATGTAAATGATGTGTAAGTATGCGGTTTCATATATTAGGACCTCATTCTAATTTCTTTTCTGAACCTTCTTGCTCTTCCTGAAACTCTGTTGATGTTAGGGAAGTTTTTCTTTCTTTCTCATCCCTCCCCTCCCATAGTTTTAAGTCGTCTTATTGTTCTTAACCTGTGTACATTAGGAGTGCTAATCTTCTGGTTTGTTGTTTTTTTTTTTTTTATGCAGGGTGCTGTACCCAAAGGTAATGCCACAAAGGAGTTCATCGAGAGTTTACAGCTAAAGCCAGGACAGGTGGTTTACAAGTGCCCAAAGTGTTGTAGCATCAAACCTGACAGAGCACATCACTGCAGGTAAAGTCTTTTCTGAGGACTGCTATTTTATCAAGACCTCAACGATTATCCAGTGTGCCTTGATCTAAATTGTTACTGGAGTCTGAGACTGGAATGGTTAAATTGAGAGATTGGCATCTGAATTCTGTTGCCAATAGCACCAGACATGTTCAACCTTCTCTGAAAAAATCCGGGGCCTTTTCTGACAAGTTTTCATCTATTGCAGTCTGGGGCCACTTCTTGCAAAGTGAAAAAGACTTAAAATGAATGCTGCCTTGACTCCAGACCTGTAATTGACATTCCATAAATTTTCGTGTAAATGTGACTTAAGAAGGGACATTATAAACCAAAATGCATAGAAATCCATAAAGTGCAATGTCTCTCAAAAGGTCAGTGTCCTTTCTATTTTTGTTTTTATTCACAAACCCATTTGTCTAACTGCAGATTCTATTTGGAAGTGATATTTAAAGTTCAGGTAACTGTAGATACTTTTTTAAGAGTTCCCACTTCCACATTTTCATTGAGTACTGTGACTTTGTTTTGTGCTTTGTGGTAGATCAGTACGCCTACTGATCTGTCGCATCCTTTTTCTGGTAGGATAAACTTCACCGAAGAGAGTAACAGGTAGTGAGCTTTTTAGTACTAAAGGCAGTGAGCAAAAAAACCACCTACTTCCTGAAATTCTCTTCTGCTTTTAAAACAAGTGAACCTCCTTTCCAGTAAGTAGTTAATAAGTTTGCACTAGTGTCCCTTCCTTACCTACTCAAAAACCAAAATGTACTGAGGAAGCTTGTATCACGGTTACTTCTGATTCATGCAGGGGTCTCGTGGGGAGGGGAATACATGGTACTGAGCTGAACAACAGCTGAAACTTGTTCTGCTGTTTGCATTTTTCATATTTATTTTCAGAGCTTTAGTCTGCAAATGTTTTCCCATTTTTTATTGGTTTTTCATTTTAATCAAAATCAGGAGTTGGTTATTCAGCAGGAGCAATGTGATCATGCCTATCACTTATTAATGCTACTGTAAAATCCCCTCTGACACTTCTTCAATTATGAATGAAACTTCGCATCTAAAATGCTGTCTTGCTGATGACTCACAGCGTAGGTAAATGAAAAAGACTCTTTGGCTAAACACAAACCCTCGTCTCTATGGTCCTTTTTTTCTATGCTTTAAGATAACTTTTTAGACATTAATATTTGGGAAACTGATCCACTGAGCACTGATGCTGTTGAGAATTTGGAGTCATACATTTGTTTGTGGGATAGGAGGATTTATCGGGCTTTCACACATCACGGTTATGCATAGGCATCAGCAGGAGGTGCTGCTAGCTGTATGCCTGAGGAACCAGGCTGTTTTTTGATTTATATGCTACTTTGTGAGTCCCCCATGCCCCAAAAACTACTCCTGCCAGCATTTGGAAGCTGGGTGGTGGTTGAGCAGGGATCTGAGTATGGGCAATCCCTGCTGCCTATAGTTTTCATTCTTGGTTTCTGTGTTTCCTTTTTCATCAGCTAGTTTCATCCTGTGCCTCTTACCCAACTGCTTTTGGTACATACACATGGAGTAAAACCGCTCGTCTCAGCCTTAGCTTCCTCCTTCACGGAGGTCCTCTTTGGCTTGACTGCTTCAGGTTGTCCCTCTGGGAAAATAGGACCTAGGAGCAATTGAAGAGGTTGCTTGGGTACTTAGCTGTTTCAGAGCTCAAGGGAAGTGTGTGCACATCTGCAGGCAGTAAATTAGACCACGGGGAGGCATCCTCCTGCTTTACACCACCTGCCCCGCCTCCCCCCTCTTTTTTTTTTTTAAAACCAGTAATTGATACTCGTCATACGAAGTATGACATTATGGGGTAGATAAATTGTTTTTGCTGTGCCAGCTGATTTTAGTCCCCGTGTAGCTGAAGAATAATTTCAAGCTACTTATTCTAGCAAAACGAGACTTTTCCTGCTTTCCACTGCCCCTGGGGTTGGCAGGTAATAAGGGTACCTGTCCCTGCTGGAGGAGAAGCAGCTCCTGATCTGTCCCCATGCTGGGAGGCTGAGTCCTGCCTGACCAGCCTTTCATTTAAGATCAGGGCTGTAGCAACTCATAAATGTTTTTCAGGCATTGCATGTATCCTGGGGGATTACCCCCTCCCACCATGTAGAGTGAGCGCAAGGCTGTTCTGATGGAGAGGTTTTCTATTATTTATTCATACGTGCTCATAAGAACGTGTTTCTGGTTTTGTTTGAGTTTCCCTTAAGCATTTGGGTGTTGAAGTTTATTGTCTATATTAAGGTCAAAATATTTTTTGTTACAAGAAGAAAAATAAAATTAGCAGAGCCCTTGATCCTTTCTGTTTTAGTGCTGCCAGAATTGTTCTGGAATGGCTGTTTCCTTTCTGGGTCTATTGTTTGTTTGGTTTGGGGTTTTGTGGGTTTTTTTCATATTTGATTTCTGTGCTTGTTTGTGCAATGTAGTATCAGGAGACTGCCTTTCGTCTCCTATCATATGAGAAAGCAGCAGAGAAAAAGACTTCCTTTATTACACGAATTGAAGCAGTTACTGACTAAGCAAGAGACTGATGTTCAGACAAAGTAATAATCTTTTAATTATTTGACTTCTAGCCACAATGTGCACGCTGGCAAGAATTTGAATTTTGATTTTTATTAGTCTGGTTTTGTGAAGTGCATTAACATCTAGTTTTACCTTGAATGTATATTGTGGTACTGTCTTCCTGCCTGACTGCCACAGCTGTTTTATGCTAGCATGTGGCTTACCTTGATGTCAAGAATGTTTTCTAATGCTTTATTTAATTCTCTTTTTTGCAAGTTCCTGCTACCAGCTAATGGTAGTAAACAAACCTTAGTCTGTTATTAGCAGCTCTGAAAAATATCTTTGTTCATTACCAGTTTTCATCTTTCTGGGTTTTGTTTCTTTTTAATCTGTGGACATTTTCACAGACCGAATAGGTTAAAACTAAACTAAATCAGATTTTTTCCGTCTGCGTGAATGTATTGTTCAAACCATATTTTGGCAGAGCCACTGATGTGAATGTTATGCTAATGTGTGTTACTTGGCATTAATTTTTTACAATAGTAATTTGGTATTGTATGGTTCGTTTTGAACAGACATAGTCAAGTGAGCAAACCACAGTAAATTTATTTAGGTTCAGATTTCACCTCTGATTCTTTCCTTTCATTTCTTTGTCCTCTAAACCCCTGTGAAATCTTGTATTCCTGGAATGAAATGTGCTATAAATAAAGACCTGTATTCTTTCAGTGTTTGCAAGAGGTGTATTCGGAAAATGGACCATCACTGCCCGTGGGTCAATAACTGTGTAGGAGAGAATAACCAGAAGTACTTTGTACTGTTTACAGTAAGTATTTTGCAAGTGGTGTTTGAGGTTGTCTGGTGGGCAGCGATGAAATGCTGTGTGTAGTCTGTGAAGCAGCTCTGAAGGCTGGCTTTTTTTTTTTTTTTTCCCTCTTGTTTCAGAAGAACTTTACAGGGAACTGTTGCAGACTTTTGTTTCGCTAATTAGGGAACACACACAACACAACAACGGGGAAAAGGCATCATGGGAAGCATTTGCCAGGGTTTTGTGAGGTTTGTGTTGAAAGTTTTTCAGCACGCTGTTTCATAGGGCGAGTAGTTTATTGTGGCGTTGAGCTATTTGAGGCGTGGGCCATCCTTTTACACCATGCTGTGGCTGGTAGGGTCCCAGGCCATGTGTGGGATTCCTAAATGTTGTAGTTGTATCAGTACCCGTGTGGGATCTTATAATAAGAGCTGCTGTCACATCTTAAGCGAGGAGTGGGAAGTCTGCATCCCCTTTGGCAAGAATTGTCCACCTCTTAGTTGCAAGTAGTTTATTTTCGTACTTGAAAATCAAGGAGGTGTTTGACTTTTTGTACTATATCTGTGGCATCATGCGTAAGAAAACAGGAGTGCAAACTCGAATACTACATATTTATGGAAGGGTTGAAATCTGTTTCATCAAAGAGAACTGCAAATATCCTGTGGGAGTAGCGTGAATGTTACAAGGCTGAGTTTCAGTGATGCTCTGTTTTATTAATAAATCTTTTGAGACATCTGTAGATTCGAGGAAGAATGTTCTCATATTACCACCTAAAAAGGGGGAGATTTTCAGTTAAATGGAAAGGCTTACTGCTAAACTTTTGTTCCGAGGTGTGGTTTGGTAGGATGTGAGTTACAGAACAAAACGAATCCCATTTCTTTCACTTGAGCAAGGGTTTTTACACTGTGAGGAGCGAGATGGGTGTTTTAATCCTATCAAAAAGATTTCTGTTTCTGCTAAAACTGAAATCTACTTTCAAGTGGGCTGTATTAAACACTTAATGTAGTTGATAGAGGGAAAAAAAAGCAAGGGTTGCTGGTTTTGTTCTTGGTTATTCTTTTTGAGACATGGGGAGGTGAAGGAACGGCAGCATGCTCAACTTGCAAGGAAGACCAAAATACTCTCCTGTCACGTTTTATTGCTTCCACGGGCGTTTGTTGTAACAAAATCTCTCTCACTTCCAATATTTGCTGACCTTTGTCAGAGCCTGTAGGTTCAGGAGAGTCATCTTTTTAGCTCTGTCTTGGTAAATTGTAGTGTACTTGTAGTGTTGCGTATAATTTAAAGCTCTTTGTTACCAAGCTAAGACCTAATTTAAAACAAAAAGGATTAAGTACAAAATATTAAAGCTTGAGAGAAACTTTCCATGCCAGAGTCTGCTTCAGTGAAAAATACTTATTAAGAAAAGTAAATAAATCATTTTTCTGAAACTCATGCTGGAACATAGATAAAGTACGTTTTGTGGTTAAAACAAATTAGCTGTTGTTTCTCTGGGAAACTAGTGCTCTCGAGAGCAAGGATGTAAGCTTTGACAACATGATACCTCAGAGAGCTGCTGCTGTCTGAAAGTTGCACTGTACTCGGTGGAGATAAGGACAGTAAGCTGTGTGGAAGGCTGCGCTGGGGCGCGGGAGGCTGCATTTTGTGTCCAGCTGGCTTTGAATTAAACAGTCTCCCTCCTGTGCCCTCAGAGCTGTTAGTAAGGCCAGAATGTGTCTGTGTAGTCTTGTCATTTGCCAGCCTCAGGGTGCTTGTTTAGGGGGGATGGGAGGGCTTGGTGGTTTTTAGAGTGGTTTGTGGCTTTTTTTTTTTTTTTTTTTTTTAAGTCTTAACGCTTTGCTTTATTTGAAGTGTTTGGAAGATTTAGCATTTTGGTCTTTAAACTTACCTCATGTCTATATTACATCCTTTATTTTTCAGATGTATATAGCACTGATTTCCCTGCATGCTCTAATCATGGTGGGATTTCACTTCTTGTATTGCTTTGAAGAAGACTGGACAAGTGAGTACTAACACAGTATCTAATTAAAATACCAGATTAGCCTATGAATAAAACCTTATAATGTAGTTTGCTTATAAGGCAACCCCTTTTATGCTGGTTTCAGAAGAATGCTCTCAAGGTTCTGCTGTGCTATCTTTTTTTTTTTTTTTTTTTTTTTTTTATGATCAATCCTAGAACTTCATAATTCTTTCTGACCTGCTAGGGTCTATGTCCTGAAAAGTCCTGTTTCAACTTAAGCCTGATACTGTGTAGAGAGAAGCTAAGATGTAAAGACACCTAGATAGTATGTGTGCAATAACCTACTGTTGACATGAACACAGCACTAATTTCCAGAATGCCAACGCAAGATAAGAAGAATGTGTGCGCTTTTTATAAAAGGGTAATGTGAATCATTCTTGCGAGACTGCCAGGAAAACACGCTAACTCAGATCCAAAAATCCACCCTCGCAAGAACAAACAATTCCTTTCCACAAAAAAAAAAAAAAAATCCAAAACAACCAACCAACCAAAAATAAAAACCCAGCCCTCGCTCTGGAGCAGCCAGTGAGTAAATTTTCACGAAGCCAGTTGAGATGTGTTTTTAAACAAATGGATACAGGAAATCCTCTAGGTAATGCTGAGTCAAACAGCAAGCTGTCAAAAAATGTGTGTGCAGATCTATGTGTTGCTTGTGGATTTTGTTGGAAGAGCATTAGCTTTGTTTTTCTTGGAATTTCAGTTGTGTCATTAAATATAATGGCCTGGTTTAGTTTATAATACTGCAGAGGATGGGTACGTTTACACATATGAATTGAATTTGACAAGGTTGTTCTGCAGTTCAAAGCTTTGCAAAACAGCTGTCAGCTGTCACTGAGAACATCTGGATTTGACTACAGCGGCCAGGGGAAGGATACATCAAAAGACAGAGTTTCCTTCGCCTGCTTTCTCAGAGCCTGCGTCTGTGGGGGAAGCGCTTTCCCACCTATCCCAGGTTTAGGTGGCAGAACAGAGCAGTTATGAGAGATGGATCTGTTGTTCCAGCTGCCTTTGGAGTTGTGCTGGTTGTGTTAGCCCCTGCTTATGGTGTATCTCTTAAAGCTTAACATCTCCTGAGAAAATATAGGGTTTCTTTGGTGATACTCATTCTTGGATTTCAGAAAAATCTGGAGATGTTCTGACATATACAACACCCAGCTCAACACTGATTTTTGCCCTATAACATTTTCCTTCCTCTTCCTTTCTTCTGCTTCTCTTTTACAGTTACCTTCTCAGATTTTGTCAGCTCTTGCCTGAGTTTGCCCTGTAGAGTATGAGGAAAAATTAGAATTTGGCTTAATCTGCCCTTCTTTAGGTTGTGACTTAGAACAATTATGAAAGGAAGCATACTCTGGTTTTATGTTGGTGCCACAGAAATAATTATCCAGTTTGAGATTTCTAATGGGACTTTCACTGTGGAAAATCCATTAAGAGTGGAGTTTAAGGTGAAATGGATTAGAGTGGAGTCCTAGCCAGCGTGCTGGGGAAACACCAAAGTGGAAAAGAAAGTTGCATTCTTCAAGCATTGCAGGGGTTTGTTTTTGTTTGTTTGGTTTGCTTTTTTTTTAAACTTGCAGGAGTGATCATTTGATTGCTGAATATCCTCAGGAATGTCAGAGCTTCCCTGTGCACCTTTTTGAGAACGGTGATCATATAATTTGTTTTGACAGTTTGAGTATGGAAAACTCCTGGCTTAGCAGGTGTTTTGCAGCTGCTGCATTACTTGATCTCTCCCCTTCCAACTCCATTGTTTTGTCTTCACAGAATGCAGTTCCTTCTCTCCGCCAACTACAGTGATTCTTCTTATCCTCTTGTGTTTCGAGGCCCTCCTGTTTCTCATCTTCACGTCGGTTATGTTTGGGACCCAAGTACACTCCATCTGCACTGATGAAACGGTGGGTGACTCACACACTCTCTCCTTTACCCTGTCTCTCTCAGCGTTCGTAGAAACAGTGAAGGGCTACAGGGTTTTAACTCATTGCACGGGGAGTTCATGTATGTGTACTCTTTGAGGAAAGACCCAACGGAATAAACTGAGCTAGCACAGTGCTGGATTGTGTTCTCTGAAGGTTATTGCAAGAAGTAGCGTCCACCTATGTATCGGCTGGGATGCTGTGTTGACAGTACCTCTGATAAGGCAGGCATTGGTAACTGGGATTACTCTGTAGGGAGTTTTTGCCCGTGTGGATTCGAGAACCTTTTTACTTTAATGAAGTGCTTTTATTTTGGTATTGTCTGAAATTCAGCTGTGTCCCCCCTGGTGTCACTATTTACAGCTTTATGTGCTGGAAAGACAAGATGAGTAGGTTGGGAAGGGATATATATACACACATGCACACTGTTCTTTTAGTCTAGAAAATTTCCAGTTTTAGCTGCTTGTTAAACAGTTCAGAAACTCCTGCCAGAGGGAAAAAGAAATGAGAGTGGAGTAGGCTCATGGAAACCTGCTGGGTACAGTCTGCTGCAAAGCCACCATGTCATCCCCTATTCAAAGGTGGCATAGTAGAGGTTACGTAGTAGTGTTGCAGCCCATCGTATATCCCGGCATTTGCCCGCTTCTGTGAACATGGAGCTGGTGACTCTTGGGGAAGTTCCCACACTTGTGAATACTGCCGGCCTTCACCAAGCATGCTCAGATATCTGAATTAACTGGAGTGGCTGAAGAGAAGATATAGTCTTAAAAGAGTGACGACTCTTTTTTCCTTCCCTGTCCTCCTTTAGTTTTCTCTCCCCTTCAGTTGTTTGCCCATGGCCAGTTGAAGCAAGAATAGGTATTTTTGCTGCCGTTGGAGAGCTATGAATGGCGTTACAGACTGTAAGAGCCCATCACTCCCAAGTCTTTTTTTGCAGCACTTTTTTTTTAGTGCTTGGCTTCTACAAGAGGCTGATGTTCACACTGTGGCTCTTCTGTGTTCAGAGGAAGGCTTCAGCTGTTCTTTCTGCTGGGGAGAGCCCCAGGAAGAAGTACAGTGTCATACAGAACAACAAGATCCTGCCGAGCTTGAGTTTATCAATAAGTGTGTAAATTAGCAATGCTGCCTTTGAAATTGTCATCTGAATTTCTCAATCTTTGAGACCTGTCAAGAATTTTTAGAAGATGCTTCCTACAGCTGGGCACCCAAATAAGTCCTCCGATTTTCTCTTCCCCTCAAATTCTGGGAACTCATGGATGTTAAAGGAACAATGCCACAATCTAAAATTACAAAATGAAATATGGTTTCCCCATGTTGGGTTGTGGGTTTTCATTTTTGTTTTCTTTTTTAATATGTACCAGGAAGGATTTTGCTCTGGAATGTCTCATTGTTGATTTGCTTGCATTGAGCTAGCTGTGTCTGGCAAGCAATCTGTTTTGAGCAGAGAAATATTTCCAGATTAAATTCTTCCTTTCTTCCTGGTGTGGTCGGTTGCAGTGTTTTACTTCACGTTTTAGAGGCAGGGCTCTATCTTGCCCTTTCTCACCTTCCTCTTCCAGTCACTGGGAGACCTAATTCCCCATCTTGTGTACTCTGTCCCACCGGGATGGTTCCTTACTGCCTGAAGGGACCCAGAACCCTAATATTTTGCTGTTGTCTCTAGAGGTGACATTTACCAGGGATCAGCACAACCCTTGCAGTGGACCCATGTTGTGTTCTGCAGAGCTCCCAGAATCAGTAATTTGAGAGAGACAGATGTATTACAGTGCATTAATCGATAGCAGGGGAGAGACATGTAGGTCAGGAGAAGCTTACTTTGCAAAAGGTCTGGAGTTAAAGAACGGAGTGATCTGCCTGCTGCCGCTACCCGTGGAAGAGTAATGCTCTCCAGTGACTACACTCGTTCATTTTGCTTCTTGGCAGCCAGGAATACCTTTCCTGAAAGACCAAATTCACTTTGTGGGTTTTAGACACAATACAAATAATTATTTTTTTTTTTTTTTTTTAATGATTGACGAGTGAATGTTTCAACTGATTGCTTGTGGCTTGTTTTCGTTCTCCCTCTAACCTTTACTAAACAATGCCGATGATTTCTCTTAAATCGGTATCCTTTTTAACCCCTTCTCCCTGCTGTCAGCCCGTGCATGTTTTAGCAGTGATTCTAATGAAACATGAAGCGGCACCAGGTAGACTCAGCTACACTGAGCCATGGGCACTTCCTGAACTTGCTTGGTGAATCTGGGAGCATTATAGAGATTATCTTTGGGTTTGTGGTTGGTTTTTTTTTTTTTTTTTTTTTGTCTGCAAGCTTATAATGGTTTCCTCTAAAACTTTCCATCTGGTTAGAGCCTGATGCTTTCAGCCATTAAAGAACATACTTTTTGTTTGGTTTTAGGCGGTGGGGTTTTTTTAATTGACATCAGAGGCAATTGGAAGGCAGGTCTTAAAAGGTTTATGAAATATACCTGAATGAAATTAAAGTAACTTTATTTCCAAGGAATACTATGTATCCTTAATATTATTTTTTTTTTTAGTATAAAACAATGAGAAGAAAAGGAAAGGCAGTATAGATGCATTTTTATTTTCTTACTCCATCCCTTGGATAAGGGGTAACTGAGAGTAGACCTTTTGCCAAATCCAGAACTACAAAATCTGAGTGTTTGACTGAAAATGTGATATTTCTGTTTTCAGGGAATAGAACAGTTGAAAAAGGAAGAGAGAAGATGGGCTAAAAAAACAAAATGGATGAACATGAAAGCAGTATTTGGCCATCCGTTCTCTATAGCATGGCTTAGCCCATTCGCAACACCAGACCAAGGAAAAGCAGACCCGTACCAGTATGTGGTCTGAGGAATTCTTGACCAGCATTTCCACTAAAATAGAAACATATTACAGCACTACTGTTATAAATTTTCCATGAATGTTTAAAACAAAAAGCAAAACAAACTTTTTTATGTCTGTTAAATGGCTGATAATTGCAGAGGAAAAAAAAAAGCCCTGTATTCCACAATTTTAGATAATTCTATATCTCTGGCTGAAACTGCTGCTGCTTTTCTTTTCTTTTTTTTTTCTTTTTTTTTTGTATTTCTATTTTTTTAATCTTGTTAACTTTACTGGCCTTTGTTTCTCTCTGCTTTCTGTATGGCATAACTAATGTGAAGGGGATCCTCTTTCTCTGTTGTGACCCACCTCTTCTGAGTAGATTCTCATGCTGTCTCCTGACTGTGATGAGCTCTGTGGAAGACATATGAGTGCCAACAGCCCTACACAGACACCTTTGGACTTCCTGAAGGAACACATTGCTCTTTCATAAGTGAACCTGAACGGGGAAGCAAACATTTCACTTACCAAAAGGTGCAAGACAAGAACGCAACACAGTAAGAGAGCCAGTTGACCTGGTGATCGCATACAGTTAAAGTACTTCAAACAAATGTTGCCAATACCGATTCCCACCCCACCCTCCTTCTTCCTTCCAGCCACAGAACTGATTCCATCTTTCTGGCATTATTTTGTCTGTTCCCTCCCTCGTGCGCAGGAAATTGTTGCCCTCTTAGGGTAACTGCGGCAGATTTAGAAGACTCTTCAGATTATTAAATGCCTTACACTTGCAGGAAAGAAAGAAATCCAATTTTCAAGTGTTTAGAGTAGCAGAATCATCTTGTTTGTGTGTGTTTGTCTTGGTAAATGACTTGTTAGAGCAATGCCTGCTACACAGTGTTAACGTGAAAAACTGACATGAATGCCCAGATTACTATAAAGACTAATATTGATGGGATGTGTAGGTGTACCAGGGTGATTGATTCTATATTCTTAGCATTGCCCTGGTTTAGAGCTTTGTAAATCTTTTCTCATATTTATGCATACATGTGTATGCGTGTAAACACGCACACATATATGTGTAAGTATTTTAAATTGGGAAATATTGATGGTAAGGAGCATGCGTACTGTTATGAACTGTGTGATGATGAAAGTGGGGGAGACAGAAGGCATTCCAAAAACGGGTAGAGCTAAACCATTCATAACTACAACTGACAACTTGTGTTCAAGCAGAAATTTTATTATATTTTTGGATCATGACTCCCATGGGCTCATCAAGTGATTGCAAACAAAGGAAAAACACAAATCAGCTGTGTCCATGACTTCCAAGGAATCTTTTCTTTCCTTGGTTTAAAATGAAATGGGTTTTTTGGGGGGGTAAATGACCTGTTTCGACTGCTTTAAAGCCATGGGGGAAGGGAGGGGAGTCAGAGAAGGAGAAATTTAATGGATGTCTCATTTTGGAAGTAATGTGAATGCTGCATCTTTTCAATCTGTCAATGCTTCCATATGGAAAACAAATGCAATAAAACTTTTCCAAAAACTTGTGTACTGTTCTTATTTTCTTTCTTCACTTTAAAGGTTGGGAAAAATCTGTCATGGTTTTCTGAACTTTCACTTCAGTAGGCGAGCAGGCAGAAGCATGTAAAGGTTAACTGAGCGTTCAACTCAAGTTTAAAAACTAGTTAATGGGTAATATACTGATCTGTTAATTGGTGTTATTGCATCTTGTGGAAGAGGCTTCATGTAACTGCTCTGCTGTGTAAACGGGCAGTTTCTGCAATCCCGCTTGCTCGGGGTTAGATCATTAGGAGTACGTTGTGATCTCTACTGCAGGACTGCACGGAGGGAGCCGCAGGCTGGACTTGCACCTCCATGGGAAGATTCCTGTGAAGGAAACGTGGCTTTGCGTACGCATTTCCTTAACGAAGAAAAGTTCAGGAAAAGGTTAGGTTTTGTTTTTATAGTGCTGATGCTGCTGGTAGTGGAAAGCGACTGTAAATAAATATGTGCCTCTGATTTGGGGATGCAATGGTGTTTTTCAGAGAATACTCCCAGCTTAATGGTTAAGGGCTGGATCTTTGGCCAGGGCTGGTTCAGCCAGTGAGACGCATGCAGGTGGTAACTTGAACTGGTAGAGAATCCTGCCCTAAAACTGTCTTGACACAAAATCAAATGTATTGGGGGGAGAGGCTTTAGTCACTTAGGCAATGAACAAATGAATGCATCTCTCTGTACAGTTCCTTGCTTTAAAAATTGTTTTGATTATAAATTCCCGGTGCACTTCCCAGTTTTGGTTTAATTACCTTTATTCACTATGCATTTTGGAGGAAGATCGCTTATGTTGTTCTGGTGTTTTGACCATTCTGAAAAAATGTGTAATTACTCAGTTTTTCTTGTTTCAAACAAATGGCAATTGTTGAACAGCTTTATGTAGTCTTGTTATTTTCAGTCAGACTGTTTTTGTTTTAAATGAGGCATCATCACAGCTTGCAGAAACGTCCATTGGTACCTGTCCTGTGTGTCTCAGTAACAGGGGGTCCTCAGTTTTACTCGCACCGTACAACTTGGTGGCGCAATCTGATGCGATTTGAATGATACTAAATGTGAGTCAACATGAGAAAGGCAGACTTAACCAGTTTGCTCACGGAAAGTATTTTCTCGGGCAGGACTACCTGATTTCAGGTGCTAGTTCTGTTTTAGCGTGGCCAAGAGAAAAGGACAAACTTGATGAGAGGCGGGGTATTTTTTTTTTTTTTTTAAAAGCTTAGCAGTGCTCCCAGCAGAAATGAGTGCAAGGATCTGCTGGAGGGAAAGTCTGCCTTAATCATGACTCCTGTAGCAACACCTCCTGTGTCGTCTTCCCCTTTAATGGACAGATTGTTACAGCACTTGCCTCTTCTGTTCGTTCTTTCCGGTTGGATTTTAAAAGTGTATTAAAAGAAGTTAATGCATTTCTTCTAACACGCAGGAGTTGTCCTGCAGATCGCTTCTGGGTCAGGCCATGCAGCCCAGCATCCTTTTTTTCTTTTTTTCTTTTTTTTTTAAAGTGAAATAGCTGCATGATGGGAAAGAGAAACAGCTGTTAATTTAATTTGAAATACAAAATTCTCACTTTCTAAAATAATGATGAGAGATTTGGGGTACACTTTTTTTTTTTTTTTTTTTTTTTTTAAAGAGGTTTCATGAAACAGTAACGAAACATCTTCAACAGTTGTGGATTCCTTCCCTTCCCCCTTAAGTTTTGGGTTATTTTTTTAAGGCAAAACATCCCACCCCACTGACTGTGGGGCAGGCAGCCAAAATTAGACCAGGATACAGTTTTTAAAACTTCTGCTCATTTTCAATACATGCCCTGAAGGGATTAGTGGGGTAGGGCTGGGAGAGAGAAAGTATGCCCCTGCCTGCTCTGATTAACTGCTCCCTAATCTGGCTTTAGTGCGACCTCCAGCCTGACCTTGATTATCGCCTTGGTCAGTGGATACTGTTCAGAGCAGGTGAACCATGTTTTTTGGGGAAGGGAGGAGAGGGGTTGCTGCCCAGAAGTGTTTGAGATCCCTTATTCCCGATGTAGATGGCGGCATGGATGGAACGGGATTACGCACGGGGTGGAGGGCAGGATTGAAGCTTGTGCTGCCGGGGAAATGCGGGTTTAAATGCGCGGTGTTTTCTTTCTCTTCCTGCCCGGTGCTGCTTGTTTTCCTCCCCTCTAGACACTCACGCAATTCATGCTGCAGCTGCAGTCCGGATTTGTTACTAACACCTTAGAAACCTCCTGCAGTTTGCTAAGGAACAGCCAACAACCAAAGATCTTCCCCTGCTTTAAGCTGCAAAAGCCCCTGCCTGCCAGCTGCATGGCCGCAGGGCGCCGGAATCGGAGTATCCCAGAGGATAAAGCACATGGCAGCGCTGAAAGACTTTGCCGAGGCTCTGCTGAGCCGTGCACCGAGTGCCGTCCCTCTCCCAGCAGGGAGGTGAGATTGGGCACCGGTGGCGGCAGTACCGAGCGCCTCATCCCGAGGGGCCAGAGGCTACGAGGGTTTTTCCCTGGAACACTTTTGCAACGGCATTTGCCAGCTTGGGAGCAGAGCAAAGGGACGTGTGCCCGCGCTTCGCGTTGCAAGATGCACGTTTGTGCTTCGGGGCTCGAATATTTCCCGAAATTGCAACCCTGGAGACTTCGGCTTCGGTATTGCGTCATTTCTTCCTTGCTGGATGGATTTCTCCTGAGTCAACATGAGAAACGGGGCATGAATGAAGCTCACAAAAGCTTTTTGCACGTAATTCTTTGTTTTGTGGTGTGTTTTCTTGCGGGCCTGCTCATGCTGACTCAATGTTCTTGCAAAACCCAGCTGCTGCTGTGTTAAAATGTCGTGTTAGTTATAAGGGTTACTGCGAGTGCAGCTGTGGTGCTGCTGAGCTGTTGCGTGTATTCATGTCCCACCCCAACCCCCGCAAAGCTTTGGAATGTTTTGTGGGTCGTTAGGGAAAACCTGCAGAATGTGAACACGACAAGTGTATTTTTCATCCAGCCATTGGATGAAAAAAAAAAAATGCTCTTTTAAATGGTTTTAACTGAATTTGGTCTTTTTTTTCTTTTCCTTGAGTGTCTCAAAGCTTGCGTCCAGTATCTTCGCTTCCCTAAGAACAGAATTTCTACCTGCTCTCACATCATGAGCACATACACAGCTGTAGATCTGACTCTTCTCACATGATACGGACTATAGGCATAAAAAATTGTGCCCTATTTTACATAGTGGTAGCCTTAAAAAAAAAAAAAAAATTAAAAAAAATTCTTAGTTCTTTATTCCTACATGAAGACTACCAGGAAAAAAAAAAAAAGTCACCGCCTGAATTTGAAGGACCTGTTATTTAAGTGCCATCAAAATGTTTACTTTACCAAAAGTGATGTTCTTGGAGGGAGGATGAATCATAATATTGACCAACCGAGGCTCCGGTCCTGCTTTGAAACCTCCACTTCCACCCGTACAGATTTCGTCATGTCCCTGCGGGTATCCGGCTTGCATTGCGATTTCTCTTTGACAATTTGTTAAATGGAAATTGTGTTCTTAAATATTTGCTCTTAATTGGCGCAGAGTGAGCTCATTCTTATGTCAGCCTCTAGTGACAAGCCTAGATACGGCTGTGGTAAATTACTGATCCGTGGAAAAAGTTGTGGTATTTTGCCTTTATCTGAACTATTGTAAAAGTGCCCAAATAAGGTGAAATTTTGAGTTGTAATTGTATTTTGTTACTCCTTGGAGGGGTTAAAAAAGCATCGGGAGGAGAGATCCAAGTTTCCAAAAGGGATGGCTTTTTAGAAGCGTTCTCTTTACCCATAGAAATCCATAGAAACTTGTACCCAAGTAAGTCACCGAGATGCAGATTGTCCACGTATTTGGTCTTGGTTTGGGGTTTTGTTGTTAAATTTGGAGATGAAACCCTCAGCGATGCAGGACGTCTCTCTTCATTGTTAACGAAAACCTGAACACGGCCCTGGCTGTGGGTGGGCAGTTTTGCACGTGCTACAGCGGTTTTACCTGTTTTAAATGTGAGACGACCCAAAACTCTTCTCTTCTTGCAGGGTATTGAGCGTCTTAAAAACCAGAAGCCAAGCTGGGAGAAGGTCAGCGGCTGGGAAGGAATGAAGCTGGCATTCGGGGGTGCTTTCTCCTTGGGGTGGTTCAATCCCTTTTCCAACCTGAACTGCGAGAGCCCCGCGCCGGCCGAAGAGGTGGCAGCAGCTCCTGCGTCTGCGATAATGACCCAAGAAGAAATCGAGCAGTTTCTGGCTCGAGATGTTGCCGTCCAAGTGTCACATGAATAAGCAAAGCAGCCTCCAAGATGTCAAGAGCAGCTTTCAGGTGTTGGGTTTTTTTAATAACTACTCGTGTTGGAGATTTAAGGCGTTGTTTTTTAACATACTTCTGGTGCATTAAAAAAATTCAGGAGTATTTATCCGGAAGTCAGGTACGGCGCTAGCAGAAGCAATGCAAATCTCCAGAGAAAGCTTTATAGGTGATGAGATTCATAAGCTGCTTTTCGGACCTGCGACAACTGCTTTATTGAGCTTTTCTAACTTGGCCTTTAAGGAAAGTTTATAATTGTCGGATAGATTGGTCCCAGCTCCCAGAAATGTGTAAGGAGTCTGGTTAATCTTTTGTCCTTGCCACCTTTTGGAGGGTTAAATGATAAGCCCCGTCGAATGGCCAGATTAGCCCAGCTCTAAAGGTTTTGCTGAAAAAGTTTCTTTTTTTAGCTCGTCCCACGGATGCTGCCTCTGGATTATGAAAACTGCTGGTGCTCAGGTCTTGGCAGAGGTGGGGTACCAGGCTGTGGACGCAGCAGATGGACCAGCTTGCCCTGGGTGTAATTCCTTTGGGCTCCAAAACATCTCCAGGGGTAAACTTTAACCCTCTGTGCTTGCGAGGCTCTCTGAGATTGGTGGTGGTGGTGGAGCCGGCGGGCTGCTGGTGGTGTCGGGCTGGCGGGAGCATTTGCCCGCGGCCAGCACTGCCGAGAGCAGGCAAGTATTGGCCAGGTGGTTGTGCTGCTGGTGGGGGGGAACCTTTTGCCTCTGGGGGCTGCGGTTCGTTAGCGCGTAGGACCTGTGGAGCGGGAGCTGCCTGGCTGAACTCCGCAGCCCAGGAAGGAGGCAGCTGGTCTCCGCTGGGCACCAGGGATATTTCTGTGGCAAAGAAGAGAGGGAGATGTGAGCACACTGCTGATGGAGGTACTGGCTGTCTCTTTTTGACTTGTCTAATTTAGATGTCTGTCTTTCTGGGTATTTTTTTTTTGGTTTTTCCTTGATAGCCAGAGTTAAGTTGAGAATGAATGTTGCTTCTTAATCTTACCGGGGTTTAACGTTGTCCTGTTGGTACTTGCCATTGTGCAGGGTTTCCCTACGCTAATTTTGCAGCCAGCTCCTGGTGAACATCAGTGAGTGCGTAGAAGGAACGTGCATCGCTCAAGGAAAGCGTCACTGCAGGTGGCAATAGCTGCAGCAAAGTCATGCAAGAGGTGACGTTAGCCATAGCGTTCAGGTACACTACAAACACTTGGGGTGCTCCAGGTGCCAGTTAGTGTAGTTTTAATTTAGACTGTTTTTCAATATTTTTTTTTTTTGACTCCTTGTCATCTCCCTTAGCTTAATTGTCAGTAAATTTTGCAGGTTATTAAGAGACATGCTCCTGGTTTTCCCCCACAGGATATGCTTGACTTCATCCCCCCCTCCCCTGTAACGTGGACCAAAGATAATTGCTTCCTCTCAAAAGTAAGAAAAAGGAGTTTGGGGGATGAAAGCGTGGCAGTGTGAAAGACCTAGATGAAGGTTTTATTATTTATTGAAGCAATACCAAATGGAAGTTGTGCAAGATTTCCCCCCCCCCCCAAAAAAAAAAAAGCATCTTAGTCTGTATTAACAGTGTGACATTCAGGGCTACCGTGGAGGGATGAGATTCTCTCCTGAACTTGTCCTCTGCCACAGCAGTCCCTTTTTCTGGCAAAGGGACTGGGAACAAACTGAGCGCCGTGACTGTTAGGAGCACAGCTTGGCTAAAACCCAGGGGATATTTCCGAACGGTTGTCCCGTCTCCTATCCCCTCTGGATGTCTCCACTTTGTCAATGAAAAATAGGTTAAGAAAAAATCATTAGGAACTGTGTGTTTATAAAAACCTTTCAGGTAAAGGGAAAGGCCCTGCATTTGGGGCAAACTGAGGTGTCCCCTCATGTCACTTAGACATGAGGTCTTGAATGTCTTTGCTCTGTGCAGCGGTGTAGATAGTGAGGGAAAAAGCTCTCCTGCTTCTGCACCAGCCGACGTTCTTCTCTGTTAGTGTCCCACAGGAAAGGGGCATCAGGGACTTAGGCAGATCTATAAGGGATTTCCTATAGGGAGCAATAGGGATGTTGAAGGAGGAAAAGTAAAAGTGCCCTTTTTACCTCAAGTTTTCTAATTTTGTCTTGCTGCTTGGCCTCTGCATCCAGTTAATGTCCCTGCCTCCAGTGCCGTGTCTGCAGAATGGGAATGGTGCTACCAGGTCCTGGGGGGAGAAACTAGTTAAAGGTTGAAAATCGCCTTGAGGTGAGCACGTGGGGATGTCGGTGAGGGAGAGAACCCCTCATGCTGAGTTTTGGTGATGCTTCTCGGGATGTGATCCCCACTTATATGGCTTCTGGTAGGCATGGACAGAGGCAGCATATTTCCTCCTCCACTCTCAAACCTGGTTCACCTCATCATGACGACAGGCATCCTTCGCTTTTGTTTCCCACGTCTCGTGTTGTTCCTCAGGTGCTGGCATCTCTGGGCTTTTTTTTTTTATTTTTTATTTTTTTTTAATAACTGAAACAGAAAAGCCGTGTGAAGAGGCGGAATGAGAGCTAGAACTCCTCCTACAGTGCAGTTATGGTCCAAGTGAGAGATGGGGACATGTCCCCGTGCCCTACGCAGAGCCACGGGCAGCCAGCCCAGCCCCGGCTCTGGTGCTCCCCAGGACCTGGCAGGGTGACGTCCTGCATCCAGCGAACTGGTTCTGCTGGTGTCTCTTGGCTGTCAGTCTCCCTCATCCCCCTCTTCTTCCTCCTCCCCGAAGCCCCAGCATCCTTCAGTGTGTCTCCTCTCTGTCTCAGTATGGTGTGGCAACCGTCAGAAATTGCAAAAGTCTTCATGAGTTGGAAGAATCTGTTTTATTCACAGCTCTAGCATAAACCTCCTTCTTTAATGACTGCCTGGTGGCTTGAGACCAAATGGGACTTTCATGAAACTGAAACCAAACTCACTGTTTTCCCTTCCCTTGCCTCCACGTGCTCCTTGCCCCTTGTTAAATCGTGCCTTCATCTTCAGGCCGTGCTGCTGTGGTCTCGGCCGGCTGGCCAGGCCCCGGGGAGGGCACTCCTCGAGAGCGCTTGGTGTGCTGCCATCCGCTTGAGATCCCATCGCTGCTCTGGCACGAGGTGGTATGGCAGACGTGAAAAGCGTTCTTGTACTTCTTACCCGCTGTCTTCTACAGCAGGTTTTCTATGCAAGTAAAGAACTTACATCTCTTGAAAATATATATATTTTGCTGTTTGTAACTCCTTTTTATGCCTCTGGTTGCTACTGTACTTATTAAAGAACTAATTTTTCCATCCACCAAGGACCGCCTGCTCCTCCCTTCCCCACGGTTGCAGTGCAGACACGGTACCCACTTTGCCTGTGGAGAGGGGCTCCTGCTCCTGGCCCTGCCACCACCAGAGGTGGCCTTGCAGGGACCCAGAATGTCGTGGGCAGAGGGGTGGCGGGGGCCCAGGACAGTGGCCCAGCAGCCACCTGGGCACTCCTCACAGGGTTCCCAAAATCTTTGAAATTCAAGTGAGTGGTCAAAAGCTCTTCCTCCTCCCTCTTTTCCTCCTCCCTCTTTTCCTCCTCCCTCTTTTCCTCCTCCCTCTTTTCCTCCTCCCTCTTTTCCTCCTCCCTCTTTTCCTCCTCCCTCTTTTCCTCCTCCCTTCTTTATGGGCTGGTCCATGACCAGGTGTAGTTGCCATTTCATTCTTTCACTCTACAGCCCTAATGCTTGAGCATTTGCCTTTTAAATAAACACATAAATAAACCCCTATACTACTGTCTGGCTAAATTTCCTCTTTCCTCGCAGAAATGCTGGTAACCCCAGCGCCAGACTGCTGCTGGCCACTTTGCCGTGACACTGTGGAGCAGAGCCATCCCTTGCCACTCGTGGACTCAGGAGGTGCTGGGGTGTGCAGCTCAGCAGTGGGGCTGGGTGGGCTCCAGCTGTGCACAGCTGTTGTCTCATTAGGTGTGACTATGGCTGGAAGAGGTCCAGATGTGCACTACTGTCAAGGTCCAATGTGTAATCCAGCAGCGTTCAGGGTGGAAGGGGAAGGATAGAGGTCATACATTTCCAGGGAAGCACTGATAGTGGTGCTAGAGATGGTACTTCTTCCAAAAATGCCTGAAAACCCCCAAAAGAAATTGGATGGGAGTAAAGGAAGATGTATGAAAAATGGTGTTTGGGGAGACTGTGCCAGGTTTGCTCTTCTTTGTTGTCTAAAGACCAAAAAAAGGTGTATGCCAGCGCATTCCCCACCTGGCTAACTGGGAGGGAGAGGGAATCGCCCAGGAGGGGTTTGTTTAAAACATTTCTTGAGCTGCACAGCAGCCTGTGGTGCGGTGAGGTCCCTGGGTGGCCTCCCATGTAGGACCACAACCTGGACAGCCAAGCAGCTGCAAAACACCCCCCTGGGCTCACACCCACCGCCAGCTGAAGCCGGCACCTTCGCGAGCTCCCATCCCCAGCTTGGGCTGGGAACATCCCTCCATGGGCTCAGAGCCATCCCACCCTGGCGATACCATACAACCCAATCACGCAGTCGATTTTAACAACCTTTATTGAATCACAATTAGCTGCAATCAACGCAACTGTGCCCTTTAACGCAGTTTAATTCCCTTAGCTTAATGGGATTTTTGCTCTTTACTTTGAGATTACGATCCAGCAACCAAGGAGGCACGAAGTGCCCGAGGGATGCACGCAGCTGTGCTATGCGTTTAGCGAGGCCACCATTTGCACCCTGCCGAGGCACCGATCCTACTCGGTGATGGTGATGGCCTTCTCTGTAGAGATGGCTTTGACCTGGGCCGATGTCAGCTTGGCTACTATTTTCTTCTCTCCTACTCTTGTCGGAGTGCATATTATTTCAGACTTAATGATCCTACCGGGCTTTACATCCCTAAGGAGAAAGAAAAAACAAATAGTCCCAGCATTAGTTTCGGTTCTCATTTGCCGCTTTCGAATCGTTTTGCTTAAAGAAATAGCTGCTGTGTGTATTTAGAGTGGGTGTTTCCCTTCTCCTGTGACCAACGTGCAGCAAGTGGGGCTCAGCACGGTGGCACTGGCGATCCTGAGGACCTTCCCCAGACTTCCCTGTACTGCTGAAACACAAAATTTGGCTCTGAAGGGAGCAGCTGTGTTCACACTGGCCAGGCAGCGCCAGGCATCACAGCAGGAGCGTGGGGCGAGCCCCTATCATGCCTGAATGCCCTGAGCACGCCAACCTCTGTGTGGACTGCACCCAGAAGTGGTGCGGTTTTGAACACAGCTTGCAAAGGGCACTGTTATTCCAAATCCCCTAACCGCTTCTTCGAGGGAAATTAAAAAAAAAAAAAAAAGAAAAAAGGAAAAAAGAAACAAAGCAGAGGCCTGCCACGCTCATTTCATACTGGGCTCATCTCCTTACCCCTGATCAAACGTTGCCATCTTAAATATGCCTAAGCCCTCCACCAGCAGCTTGCAGTTGTCCAGGGGCACATTCAGCTTGTTCTTGAAGATGAAGGCACAGGCGAACTCATTGTTCAGTTTAGCCGTTTCTGGCATCTGGCAGAGGAGAAAAGAGAGAAACAAACCCAAATGCCGGGGATCAGAGAGGTAATAAAGATGCCAGAGCTGCTGCCAGTTTGCTCCTCACCACCAGTGTGGTGAGGAACAACTCACATATCCTTTCCACCTTCCCGCAGCACTGTGTGCTCTGCCCCTCTGGCTGTTTTCCCAGCTCTCCTCTCTGATTCCCCAACATGTTTTTCCTTCAGGAGGTAGAGCTGTGGGGTCAGAGATAGGCCCCGTACAAACTGTCCTCTTCCATCCCCTTCCCTCCAGCAGCCCCTGCCTGCCTGTTTTAGACGGGGCAATAAAATCTTCATTCCATGGCTGCTTTCAACCTTCAAATAAAGGCTGAATAGCCAAATAAAATGCTGAGGACTGAGCATCCCAGGAGGCAGCTGTTTGGGAGATGCCCCTGGGAATGCCAACACCACCATGGTGTTACAGGGAGTAGGGCTTTAACCCTCATCCCAAAGGAGCCAGGCTGACGGCTGTCTCACCTGGACGGTGATGGGGGGGTACTCGAATCTCATCGTCGTCTCCTTGGTGAGTTTGTCATCTGTCCCCTGGACCTCGGCAATGGCGGTGATGTGGATGAGCACTTCGTCTTCCACCGAGGCCAGTGTCTTCATGTATGAGTCGGCTGCGATTTTCAGGGGGACCTTTGTCTCTGTGGGAGAGAAAACACAACTCGATGCTTCATTACATACCCACAAGCTGGATGGCAAATTTGGCTCTGGCGGCTGGTGCCTCAGGGTGCAGGACGAGGAGTATTTGCCGAGATCGTCCTGCTTTTGGCCAGACCTGGGAGCCCGGCGGGGGAAGCCCCAGATTGGTGAGTGGTACCCAGCACACGCAGCCCGCAGGAAGGGTGGCTGAGCCCTCACCATCTCCCTGCCAAGCCAAGCGCTGGCTCAGGCTCATGTCCAGAATCTCGGCAGTCCTCATCCCCAGCTGCCCTGGCACTCAGGAGGAGGCAGAGGAGCGTGAGGTTTAAGCCCACGTCCCCTGGGGTTTCTCTGAGGCATTTCTTGCTATAAAATCAGTGGCTTTCCTTTCACTTCAGATTTTATCTTTAATTGCCTGGTCAAAATTCCAGTGTCTCGGAAAAGACCCAGAATCAGCAGCGCTGAAGCCTGGACGTCGCTTTAGCCGCAAGGCTTCTTGCCTTCTGGGAATCAAAAAATCCACCAAATGCCTGTCCTTCTCTCGAAATGTATGTAGCTACCTTTGTGCCCTACCCTGTTGCATTTTGACAGCCACAATGTGCGTGTGAAAGCACTCAGCAATCACCAGCAGCAAAGATATTTATTTTTTTTTGTGAGTGACTCACGCTTGGAATGAGAAAGTGCTGTTAATTATTCATCACTCGTTAGCCTCTTGTTTAGCAAATTTCAGTCACATTGCTGGGGATCAGAAATGCAACCCAGGTCATTCAAAGATATTCAGCCAACAGCAAACAGCTTTTGGGATCAGCCAAGCAGGCAGCCATGAGGTTGAAATTTGCTTGGGCGAAGAATTCAGAAATTAACACTCACCAGCATCACCACCAGTGGATCAATATTATTGCGGCAAGCACAAGAACAAAAAAAAAGGCTGAAATTTCCTGCCGTCTAAATCCCGTGAGGGATCTGACTCTCATGGCCACACTTGAAGCTTGCGGTGGCATCTTTGATGCTTACAGGGTGAGGACAGGAGGGAGATCCTCCAGCACACCTCGCTCACACCGTGAAAATGTCTGTCTGCCCACACTATGTATTTATAATCATCTCCTTGGAGCTGCAGCAGGGACAGGGCCTTCATGTTTTGGTCCCTGCTGTGGTGGGATCCCAGCCTGTGACTGAGACTCCCAAATGCAGTAACAAGAGAGGTAGGTAGCACGCAGACAATTTCAGCTCTTTGTGCCTTACAGAGCTATGCACTGACCTATAGCAGAGCTATTATGAACCAGCTCAAGTGAAACCACACACTGCCACAGTAAATAACCCATAGAACACAGCAAGCTTTCCATGCCTACCAGATTTGCCTTCAAGCTTGACGGTCTCCTTGACGTATCCAAGGCTGGCCACAACTTTCCCGGTATAGGACTGCAGCTGGCAGGAACCGGCAAGATTGATGGTCCAGTTGCCAGGAGTAGAGGTCTTCACTGTGATGGCCAGTTCAAGGGGATTGCCAGGATACAAAACTTCTGTATTGTTTATCTCAAGCTGCAGCCCAGTCTTGGAGACCGTCTCACGCAGGACCTCAGGCTTGGAGTCCACGTCATCCCCGTGTGCGGTTGCAGCGAAGCGTGCCCGAATTCCCATTCCTGGAGGCCGTATGAAGGAGGAAGCTTTCTGCATGGCCTTCCTTTCCTCTTCAGAGCCTGGATGAAAAAAGATGGGCGATAGCTGTATCTCGGTCTCCTCACACAGAGCCACCACCTTCCCTTTAGTTATGCTTCTGGTGAATGAGCAGAGGGGATGTCAGGGCACCTCCAGCCTCTGCTCAGGAGACCCTCTTGGTTTACTCTACCACCAGATCTAACTGTAATGTTTTGGACTGGAAGAATTTCTTAGAGGATGGATGCTCTTAAATTTTTCAGCCTAAGATTTTCCCACTCCTCCCTGGGAAGGGTTTAACGGTCTAGCACAATGTGGCTGGATCTGAACACCATGGGGAGGGAACATGGGGTTTTTTGTTTCCGATATGGTCTGGGGAATGGAAAGACAAAAAGAAGAAGAATGAAGACATGAAGAAACAGTGAGTCCTACGACTAGGTTGGTCACTCAGCCCATTTCTGTCACTGCCTGCAAGCTTGCTCGCGCCTGTCCCTGAAGAGCAGCCTATAGGTGTCACTGCGGGCATGAAGATACCCAGGAGCAGCGCTGCATCCCCCAGGTCTCCAGGCCTTACATGGGGTTTGCCACTGCAGCTACCCCTGCGGTTTTCTCCTGCACAAAACACACATTGAGGGGTGACCTACACAGCCAGGGCTTTCCTTTTTGGCACTACTTTAGAGGATGGGGGCAGTCACCTTCAGGGAACTTGTACTGCGAGGTGATGTCTTCCCGCTTGTCCTGCCCCACAGCTTTTGTGCTCATGTTCACACCGATGCCTTGGGTCTCCGTGTTAATCCTGATGTACTTATCCTTGCCGTTCACCTTCTTGACGACCCAGTAAACTTTGTCAGCATTCACTTCCGCATAGACAAACTTGCTGTCGAAGGGCAAATACACATCCCCGTCTCGGATAGCCTTCAGCGGGCATGGACCGCACTGGAAAATACCTAGAAAGTGCATTCGACACCATTTGTTTTTCCAAATATGAGCAGAGCCTCCGATTTTTGTTCCACCCTCAGACCCATCCAAGCAGGAATCTGTGGATGTGGTAGTTGATTCTTAGTAGTAAATAGAGCTTTTATGTATTTCCTCTCACTTAAATAATTTTAAGGGTCGAAAGTCATGGCTCAGTGATGGAGTCAACCGAGTCCAACCACCTGTGTTTGATCTCCTGGCAATACCCGACTTTCTGCTCAGCCTTGAGGACTTATGACTTCCTCAGGAAAGCTCTACAGAAAGACTCTTTAATGGGGAAAGCTGTGGCACCTCTTTCTACAGACTGCTTTAAGTCCTCAACTTCACCAAAGAAATCAGAGGATGGTGGAAAGATAAACTAGCTCTGATTTCCAGCTGTGCGCTCTGACCTCTGAAATGACATTCATGTCCCCACAGCACTCTACAAGGTTGGTTTTCTGCTTGCCAAGAAACGCCCTTCCTCCCGTCCCGGGCTGAGACAGCAGGAGTGAGAACTCTGGCTTTAGGATGTCACTGCCCAAGTGCATGAAGATATGCATGGGGAGTACGTGCTTTGCTGACTGGGGACCATGGTTCTCATATGAGATGTCCCTGCCTCCCTTGGGAGTTGCAGAAGAGCCTTTCTAGGAAAATCCTACCTTGACTTTGCTCCTGAGGGGTTGAATCAATTGCCTGCCAGCCGTCAAACCCTGACGGCAGGTCCGTCCGCTTCATCCAGACGTCATTCCACACATGGAAGTTCCTGCATGCATTTGGGTTGAAAAGAAAAGGAATGAGCTGTTACAGCCAGAAGAGTCACGCTCTCCTTTCTTAATCCTTAAGTAAGGGCAGGTTTAATGGGGATTTGCACGTAACCCTGTGAAACCCCAGGCTCTCTCTCCCTCCCAGGCAGTGAACCCAAAGCAGTAGGGAAATAGCAGCAGGAAAGGCTGCTGTGGCTGGGAAACACAGCGCTGCAGGGCAGTGGGGGGGGTAGGAGGCATTAGGCCCCTTTGGCAGTACCAGACAGAGTCGAGGGACATCCGGTTCAGCTTTTCTCCATATTCGTTCAGGTAAATGTCAACTCTCAGGTTCTCGTCCGTATCGTGCGCTGAGTTGAAGTTACTCACGCAGCGGGATGGGATCCCCAAGCAGCGCATAACTGTGGCACAGACAGACAAAACACAGCGTCCCAAAATCACTCAGGTTGGTGGGTGCCTCTGGGGATCATCTCTCCCAACCTCTCTGCCCACCCAGAGCCCTCTAAAGCAGGCTGCCCAGGAACATGTCCAGACGGCTTTTGAGTATCTCCAAGGATGGAGACTCCACAACCTCTCTGGGTAACCTGTGTCAGTGCTTGGTCACCTTCACAGTCAAAAAACCTATTTTCCCATGTTCAGAGAGAACCTTCTGTGCTTCAGGTTGGCCCATCAACTCTGGTCCGGTCACTGGGCAACACTGGGCCTGGCTCTATTTGCTCCATTCCCTCCCATCAGGTATTTGTATACATGGATAAGACATCCTGAGCCTTCTCTTCGCCAGACTGAGCAGTCCCAGCTCCCTCAGCCTCTCCTTACATGTCAGACCCTGCCACCCCTGGTGCTCAGAGGCACAGAAATTTGGCTTACTGCCACAGTAATTAGGGTATCAGAGAAGGGAGACAGTTCACTGTTTACCTGTAGTGAGGACTCCTGCAAAGACCCAGCATTGACCGTAACAGACCGGTTTCTTCGTTTTGTAATACTGCTGCAAAATTGAGACGCTTCCCATCCAATCCAGAGGGGAGGTCCCTCTGTCATAATTCCCTGACCAGTTCCCCAGCAGGACACCACTGTCATCGTTGGCATTAACCTGTGGCCACACGCACATTGAAAGGAGAAAAATATGGGGATGAGGCTGAATGAGGCTTAAACCCCAGGGTCTTTGCCCACCCTGTGGCTCCCCAGGTGCTCCACAGCCCTGTGGCACCCAGAGAGGCTGCTGGTGCCAGCTGGAGACTACCCTGGCTGGAAACCCTCCACCTGGATATCTAGAGGGAGGTGGCACTGCTGCCCGGGGCAGCCATGATGCACTCTGCATCTTGTATCTTAAACCCCAGAGCTCCCAGAAGGGTCCCACTCCAGAGAGGAGTTGTCCCCCAAAACACAACCCTCGTGTTGGGCCTGCCAATGCAGCTGCTGGGAAAGGACCACCACCGGGGGCAGCTGCAAGCTTTGGAGATAGGGAGATGCTGTATTATTTCACTCGCCTCTTCCCTCCACCCAAAATGTCTCTGGCTATTTCCTTGCGGTTTCCCAAAGGAACCCATTTCATATACATCCTGAAATGGTCTTCAAGGCCCCAGGGAAAGAAGAGTAAGTAAGAAGGAACACTTCTCCGAGAAAGTCATACCAAAGCAGACATGGCTCTGGACACAAACACAGGATCCCTCCTACTGCTCAGCCTGAGATTACTTTTGTCCAGCAGATACATGCAGGCATCCAAGATGAATTCCTCAAACTGTTTTGGAGAGAAAGTGGAGACATTTGTATACACCACTCTAAAATAGAATTTGCTCAATTGCTACAAAGTCTGTCTAAATATGTGGAGGAAACTGTCTGACTAGTCCTAACTTCTAAACTTCCTTTATGATATTGAACATCCAAGCCTTTGGGGCTTCCCAAAGCTGTCTCTTCAAAGAAGGGCTTAAGTGAAAAGCCACCTTGGAAGAAAAAAGCCTGTCTCATGTGTCTTGCAAACACAGTTGGAACCTGCCCCAGCAATCTGTACTCCTGTGAGTATTCCTAAGTCACCTACGTCATCTCCTTGCAACCCTGCAAATTACTCACAAGAGTAATGAAAATTTAAGAGCTCTACAGATATTCAGTCTACTGACATACGTACAAAATGAACCCTGGAAGAAAGAAAATGTCCGTAAATGCAGATTATTACAGCAAAAGATTCCTAATTGGCAATTACTGATAAAGCTCCAACTAGGTTCAATTCACAGTGATGTCAAACATCCGGTCCAGTGAAGCTTGGCAGAATATCAGTATCAATTCTCATTGCATAACAGCAGAATAAATATTAGGATAGGAACGGCCCTATGGACAATGCCCTTTGGCCCCTTCACAGAAAAGGCATCAGCATGAGCACTTTTGCTGGGCTATCCAGATCTTCCAGCTTGAAATCGCGGACTTATAAAACAAAATAAAAACAAAAAAGAACACACACACACACACACAAAAAGAGAAACCCCTTTGCCCCAGATTCCAACATTTCTTAGTGGGAAAGTCTGTCTGGATAGGGTGCAGGATGCTCCATTTGTGTGCTTGTGTGCTTTCCACAGGGTGCAAATAAGCCTGCTCTGGCATCCACCTCTTATCTCTAGCCTGAGCGAATTTGTCGTTCTGCTCCACTGGGGTTATCTCAGAGGCAGCATGGAGGAATACCCTTCCTGAGAAGGCAGGCTGATGGTGGCCTGCACCCAAAAGTTCACCACGCAGCTGGTGAAGACACCACTTGAACGATGACAACCTCTTCCAGTGCTTTTCCCTTATATTTCCCCGATCATGATGCAACAGGCAGAGCATCAGGCTTTTTCCCCCTCCCCACAGCTCGCGAGCTGGTTACCGACGGCTCCTGTGTTGCATGAGATCTGGGAGGACTCTTTTCAACCAGAAATACTCTGTCCCCTGTGTCCTATGCCAGCGGTCTCGTGATCTGACTATAAACATGCCATCAAACCCCGTTCTCAAGGTGTGGCTGGGGAAAACACTTAAGCACGCAAATTACTCGAAGCAGGTGAGCCCTCCCAGTGAAGCTGGCAGGATTATTCAAGTGTTTTGAGCTACTCATGGGCTTAAACTGTCTACAAGTCTGATTCATTGCAATGAACACCTAAAGGAGAAAGAGCACATAAGGGTAATATAACACCGAGAAGACAGCTGGTTTTTACCTGCCCGAAATTCCAGGGTCTATTGTATATGCTGTATGCGGACCCAACATAGATGTAGCCTGTATCGTTGAGTACATACTCCTTTCTCTGTGCCTCGTCGGCCAGGAAGACGACATCACCTGGAGCAAAAAAAAACCCCTCAGCTGTTAACTGGTTGGCTCACACACTTATGCAAAATTTTCCCTGGAAAGCTAAACTGGAGGAGTTGGTGTTCTGTAACATTCACACCAGATAATGACTGTGCAGCACTCACTTTTTTCCCTATAATGGAAGAATTTCCTATAAGAATAGCCTTTATTTTACACCTGTAGGAATTTTGCTATGTGACCATTGTTTTATTTTAGTGAAACACTTCTTTCTGAACACTTTAGTGGACTAGGTAGACAGCAGAAGGAACGGGGGGACAGATGCCAACCAACAAGGCATATTTTTTTGTCTGGTTATTTTTGTTATCTGGATTTTAAGCCAACCCAGACCTCTCAGTTAACCTTTGTGCTGGCCCAGGGGAACAGCAAGAGGTGACACAGGGGTGCAGAGGTGACAGAGAGGAGCTGGCTCATTACTATTGCCCAGCTTTGCACTGGCTCCGTGAGGATGCTGCTTGCGCTGTTTTAGGGGGGGGGAAAGCAATGTATGTGGGAAAGAGAGAAGGAAAAATGTGAGGAGAAGTTCCCCAGGGATGATCCCCGCAGCAGTAATTATCACCCCTGGTTGCAGGACCACTCACTTTCACACCAAGGATTGAACAAAAGGTAGACAGCATCGTTTTCGGGCTTGTAAATGTTAGTCCCAGTCTTCACGTTCAGGATGTATTTTCCCACCGGGGCGCTGGGTGAGCTGGTGACAGACAGCAGACACTGGGGAGGAGACAAGGAGAGATGGCATGACGGACCCTCTCCCACAGCCAGAGGCACAGCACAAGTACAGTAGGAGCACTGAATGTGGTGGCCACAGGGATGCGTGTAGGGGAGGAGGGATGGGGGGCATCCCGCGTACGCAGTGGGGGAGCAGTGAATTAAACAGGGCAAGGCTGCTGCCCACCTAAAATTACATAGCTAAGGGGAAAGCAGGAGGGGACTATGAGGGCTCGATCTATCGCTCCAAATGGGCTTGGTGTTGCTGCCCTCCACCACCGCCACGTGTGGCTGCACGGCCCGCCCGTTCTACCTCTTTGCCGCTGCTCTTCACGATGGAGATTTTCCACCCGCTGTAGTCCGGCTCCCGCCTTGGGTTCAGCGACATCAAGGTCCCCCTGATTTTCATTGGCTTTTCGCCTGGAAACAAACCCAACACGAGATGCGGGAGGGTTGCACGGGTCTGCAACCACCCCCCAGTGCGCGGTGATGGGAACAGGCTGCCGGGGGTCTCCTGCTTTGCCCGACGGCCACGGAGGGTGGGACCTACTTACCGATGCCAAAACGCAGCGCCAGCTTGTCGGCAGCCTTCAGCTCCCTGCTGAAGCTGAGCTGGAGCTGAAAGGCCTGCCCACGCCTCACCACCAGGTTCTTGATGTTGTACCCATCTGTGTGGTGCTGGCGGGAGTTCTGGCTCTTGAGAAAGTCAATCCCAGTGACCTTCAGATCAGTCCCTGGAAAGCCATCAGCAGAGAGGGAGAAAGAAAAAAGAAAAGGGGGTTGATGGTAAATTGCTTAGTAAAGACAGTTTTCTTCTTCTTAGTGGAGCCCTGTGGGTCACCGAAACATCAAAGTGTCCGGTGGTCTAGCACAAGGAATCACACCAAGGATCGTCACTGCTAATGGATGGTACAACAGTATTTTTTTTTTTTATATATATGTGTGTGTGTGTATATACATATATATATGTATGTGTATATATACACACACACAATACTCTACTAACTATACTGTACTAATATATATATAAAATGTGTACAGTATTGTATAATATAGCATAACCTATATACTGTAATATAATGTTATATAATTTAGTATAATATATATAGATAATATATAGATTATGTATGTATATATATAATTTATATAGAGTCATATTGCTGGGATGGGTTACAGAGGCTGGCAGCAGCAAGCGCACTGCATCAATCTGCCTGGAGCAGGGACAAGTGCTTTCCTTGCCCTTCGACTATGCGGCCCCGGGTTGCTGTGGCGTGCCTCTGCCTCCCTCCCTCACCACCCAGGGAGTCTGAGGGATGTTTGACCTCTGAGGTGGCCCTGGGTGAGCGGTGAATGAGCAGCCTGAGGGCGGTAGCGGCAGTAGGAGACGTAGCATGAGGATTTCTTCCCCTGCCGGCAGCCATACATCCAGCCAGCACCCCAGCACCTCCGTGCACAGGCAGCTTCCTCAGCAGCCAAAAGGCTGTGAATGGGATCTAACTGGTTTGGAAATCCACATCTGCTGGCCCAGTGCCTGCCCTCGCACACTGCCAGTTGGCTGGGGGGGCCAGCAGCCATGAGCCAGCTCCACAGCCTGCCGCGGGCCAGGAAGACGGTATGACTGCAAGTTTTGTTGCAATACTGAAAGTCTTGCTTCTGTGAAAGTCTTGCTTCCCCCTCAAAAGTGGACAGGGGACAGCACATCTGCGTCCCATCCCCACAGCTGCTGTGGGGCAGCTCCGATGCCCTGAGCATCTCGCATGGGAGCCCACCGAAGGTGCTGACCACCCCAGCATCCCTGTGGGCAGCGCCCATGGTCCTGTCATATTTCTGAGCCCTCTCCTCCTTGCTCCCATCTGCTCAGCTGCTTTGCTGGTGGCACTTCATCAAAGCCAAGGCTGAGACAGCAATTCCTGTTTGCTGCATGCCTGCGCCTTGCCAAGTGCACGGTGCATCAGCTCCTTGGCTATTATATATATTTCTTCATTATTGCAGGTATTAAAACAACAGTAGTAGTACTAATAGTAGCAGTAGTAGTAGCAGTAGTAAGATGGACAGGTGAAGAAAGTACTGCTTGCCAATGCACATTCAGAGGCGAAGCTCCCAAGCGGTCCTCAGCTAGCACGGGGCAGCTTAAAAATGAAACCTCACTGTTGGGGTTTTATTTCAGCATATTTCCCTCCAGTCAAAGACTAGCCTTATATTAGCATTGAACACATCCTTCATGATTATCAGATAATAATTAACAGTAACTGTAATTGCTCCTTTCAAAACATAATGCGCATAGTCAAGCTGGAAGTGAGCCGAATATGCTGAAATTCAGCTGCCCTCAATTGCTGGGACCCCCAGTGTCTCTGGGATGCCATGAGCCTGGGAAATGGGACTCTTCAAGACTCTGAGGCTGATGCTTTGTATTTTCCCCTCAAAAATTAGTCCCAAATAATACTATAACTGTCATTAATCAACCTCTTATGGAAGTTTGCATATGTGAATCTTTGCAAGTTTCTTTTTTTTTTCCCAAGGACTTGGTTTCTCCTACAACCCAAGTACCAAAGGAAAGTTTGGGGCTGGGAACCAGCTGTGCTGCAGAGATGCTGCCTGTCTGGGGGTTGCTAAACATGGGGGGCAGAGTGCTGTGCCTGTCTGGGGGTTGCTAAACATGGGGGGCAGAGTGCTGCCCCCCTTCACACCAACTGGTGCTTTTGCTGTTTGACTCCAGCACAGCTCTGGACTCCAGCAAGAGACCCTGCCAGGTGCCCTGCTCTCATTGATTCCCAAAACAGCAGCTGTTTTTGTAGGAGATGGCATTTAAAATCACTGTATTCTGAGCTGCTCTCCCCTCCTGTAACTCCGGGTGGGAGCAGGGCTGGGAAAAGGTAGCGGGACTCCAAGAGGTACAAGCCAGAACTACACTTGAGCAAAGAGCAAAGTCCTTGAACAAAGCTTGAGCAAAGCTTGAGCAAAGACAAAGCCCTCAGCTTTCAGTGAAGATAGGGATTTGGGGGTTACTGTGTCAGGCCTCGGCAGGCTGCCCAGGTGTGACACGGAAAGCTGGAGCACGCCAAAATGTGGCCAAGCAGTATTTCTTTGGATGTGTCTAAGCTGTCTTGTACCTGCCCATTAAATATCCTTAAAGGATAAATTCCATGTAAACAGTAGGGAGTAACAATACCTCAACAGCACTTGCCTCATAAGTGATTCAGACAAAGATATGGGAGAGTCAGGAAATTTAAAACCACTTATGATAACTTAGAAATTAGCAAGTCAAAGGCATAATAGTTGATGGGATTAGTTCACCAAATGTCTTGACAGATTTGCACGGTACCAAGGCAACTGTGCTAACTTCAGTATCAACAAGAGCCATCCCTAACGTCGAAGAAGCCGAAATCTGCTGGTAGCTGCTGTGGCATGAGGGATATCACAGGCAGGGCCAGATCCAGGGCTGGCTGAAATTAGTGGCACGCTTCCCACTGTGACCTGTGCCAGGCAGCGATTGCAGCCTTGAGTAAACTGAACTGACCACCCCTGGATCCCCACCAGATTACTACCTCCCTGTGTTTCTTCTTAGTAACTACATAAACCATATTTATCTTAATTGCATAACAGTTATCAGTGGTACAGCAAATAGACTTAAAATTGACCATCACCTTTCGTTAACTGATTTCATTTTTGAGTGCTTTTTGTTTGCTTGCTGCCTGCCAGATGCCAGCCTCGAGCTGATGTTTTGCGCAATGGGGTGTGTGTCTGTGTGTATATGTCAAAAAATTTCAGCTGAAATTGCTTAACCCTCTTAAGAAGGATGAAGGGGAAGTACATCTTCCTCAACATTAACAAATCTCCAGCCACCAAAGCTGCTTGACCTTGTTCCTTATGGAAGTTCTGGTGCTGGGCCAAGAAAATACCAGAAAACAGTCCTGGCGATGGGAGAGGGCTTTGGAGGGATGTGGGAGCTGAATGCACAGGATGGCTGTGGGAAAGGGCCCTGGGGAGTCTGTCCTTCCAGCATTTCCTAACTTAGGGACTGCATTTCCATCCCTTGTTTCTGGAAATCACTGGTGTTGAGGATGCACAGAGAAAAACTGCAGAGAACAGATGCCTTGGAGTATGCCCTGACAGTGCAGAACGTGGTGCCAAAGACCTCTCCCCACGCAGCGCTGCCCGTCAATCGCACGGCACTTATTCCTGTGCAAACACACCCGTGATACCCTGTGATCCGGCTGGCGTGGTGTGCCGTGCCAAGAAATGCCGCGGAGCGAGCCGGCGGCACACCCATCGCCAAGTCTGAGG